GCGTCACCTCCCGGGAAGCCAGCACTAACCAGGAGGGGCACGGGTCCAACAAACATGTGGTCGCATTCAATCTACCCAGAATCCTGTCCACGTCATCTGGGGTCACAGGATCAAACTCATCCCAGATAACAGTCTCAAGACCTGCCTCTGTCACCCTCGCTGGATTTATCCCGTCAGAGTCCAGACCTGCCCGAATCTGAGTGATTTTGTCATACAGATACTGAACAAAATCCTCGGCTCTTCCCTCCAAGGGGTCCTCCCGCGCTTCCTGGTGGAGCAGGGAGCGGGTCACCCTAAACAGGGCAGCCGGGCGATTATCTGATGACGCAATAAGAGCAGCAAAATGAGTACATTTTGCTGCTTTTATCGCCACTAGGTAACTCCTAATATGAGATCTTACCAGTGTTCGGTCAGATTCAGAAAGACTAGCTCTCCAACAGCTCTCTAGGCGTCTTTTCCGGCGCTTCATCTCCCTCAGCTCCTCGGTAAACCAAGGAGCCAGGCGAGATCAGCGCCGGGTCAGAAGCCGCAAAGGCACGACTCGGTCCAGGGCTCCAGCAGCCGCCCTATCTGAAAGGAAAGGTCAGTGTGGTAATACAGAGTAGCTAGTATGATAGCCCACCAGTCAAAATTTGCTTTTTAATAGTTCTGTCAAGGTCAAATTCCCGCCTCCTTGACTTACACACGACTTTATTATTCTTTAGTTCTGCTATATCTCTGGAATAGATAGGGGAGACCAACCAAATAAATATTTTATAGTCCTCACCCAAAGATGTTAGTTCTGAATAGGCTCTATCCATTTCTTGGTTAAAATCAGCACCCTACCCTAGAAGCATTTTCAGCTGAATAGTAATTCAAAAATTGCAAAAAACAAAAGAAGATATGTGGACTATTGATCGTTTGTTGCTTCAGCTACCTTCTTCTAATTAACCATTTCTTCCTTTTTTAAGTTGTCCTTTTTTCAGCAGTGTCTTTCAGTGTTTATTTAGATTCAATCCAATAATCCTATTATTTTTTCTAATAACTTCATTGAGAGACTACAAGGAAGCTTAAAAAAAATGGAAAGTGGCTATTGAGTATTCCTGACCGAGATAGTTTCATATGTACAACAGTGCTCTGGCCTTGAAACCTGAAGCCTTAGAATGTAATTTCAGGTTAAGAGAGAAATGATCCCTATCATAATAAAATCAATCTTCAGACCAACTATTCTGTTGGATAACATTTGAGATTTACATATAATGAATAGCACTTCTACCCATTTCCACTCTACAGGATTTTGTTTTAGGAGTCGCCTTTAACTGATCCAATTAGAATTGAAAAACAAACAAACCCAATTCTAATTAGCTAATCTCTACCCTCTGTAATTATTTTCCTTATCTTTCGAGAAAGCAGGTTGGAAATAAAAGTGACCAATAGATAATTAAAATAAAACAGAGGAAGTAAAGGGTTCTTCATTGGATTCAATGCCACGTTAAAGTAACTTGCAAGAATTAGTTCAAAGATGGTTTATTTTATTAACAAACCCAGGAGATAATCATCAAACACACTCCCAATGTCATTAAAATGATTTAAATAGACATTGATTAACAGCAACAGTGTTTGTTATCTGGTTTCAGTTCAATAACTATAGGCAAGAAAGGAGAAGTGACATGCTTGGATATAGTTTGGCTAAAATGAAGATGCTGAGAGCTCCTTGGCTATATCTTTCAAGCATAGCCTGTAATGAAAAAGACATATAGCCATTGAGTACTAAGGTTCACTGATATGAGTCTCTTGTAAGACAATTATGTAAATTGTGTTTAATTGACTCGTGAAGGTCATTCCTTTTGGTGGAGCATCTTGCTATATTTTTTAGAAATTCAGGAGATATCCCATTGAATGCCTATCAATAGATTCACCATTCATTCAATTCATTCATCATCATTCATTCATTCAATCAATCATTCAATAGATCTTTCTGTCTAAATGCCCTCAGATGGAAGAAACAAGAGAAATTTTTTTTTCTAAACACAGAATATGACTGAGGGTAGAACTGCTAGAAAAAGGCATAAAGCAATTTGTTCTTTTTTTAAAAAAAAATAAGTAAAGTATACTTTAAAATATTTCTATAGGAAACAATTGTGCACAGCAGTGTCTTATACCATAATAAATTGTGGCCAATTTTTAAACAAACAAAGAAATAACACACAATTATGGCTTATTGATATGGGCATGAAAAGGCAATGGATTTCTATTGATCCATATAGCAATAGCACTTAGATTTATATACTGCTTCATTGTGCTTTGCAGCACTCTCTAACCAGTTTATAGAATCAGCCTATTGCTCCCAACAATCTGGGTCCCCATTTTACCCTCCTTGGAAGGATGGAAGGTGTGTCAACTTTGAGCCAGTGAGAATCAAACTACTGCCAGTCAGCATAATTAGCCTGCAACCACTGGGCTACCACAGCTCTTATAATATAAGTCTATCCCCCATAGATAGAGAAACAATTAAAAGACTTGGGGAACATCTTCCTAGAATACAGATTGTCATCATTTGCTAAATGTAACTGGGACCAGTAATTCCATCACTACATAACAAGGTTGTAAAGTGAACATTCATGTGACTACACCTGACTTATAACAGCAGTTTGTCAGTTCAATTTATGATTGGTAAATGAATCACCATAGATCATGAAGCAAGACACCACAGAACTCTGACTTGTGACTTTCTGCTGGCTTCCTCATTGACTTTGCTTGTTGGAAGCTGGCTGTGAAGGTCACAAAAAGGTGAGCATGTGACTATGAGATGTTGTGACCAGTGTACCAGTTGCCAAGCTCTTGAGTTGCTATCAGTGACTATGGGGATGCTGTAATGGCTGCAATTCTGAGGACTGGTTGTAAATCTCTTTATTCAGTGTGCTCCTAACTTTGAACAGTCATTGAGCAAAGTTGGTAAGCGACAGCTCTCTGTACTATACTTCTCAATAATTAAACAAAACAAAGCAAACTTGCCAGATGTAGAACTGGTTTTAGATATTACCTGTACCACAACTATTGCAAACCAGTTACTTCTCATTCAAATTGCTACATTGTATTAGTGTAACTGATGATTACATCAGTTGTAATCACCTGTGACTATGACATGTCACAACAATTATCAGGATGTACCTTTAAGTTATAGTTTTTTTCATGATTTGGGTACTATATGAGTCAGAAACATCTTAATTGGTAGGCCTAATTGAAGAGGTGCTAAGCCTTCTGGAAAGTCATACTTTTAAAACACCTTATATATAATTGATGTGTAATCATCCTTCAAATTTTCAATCTACAAATGGGCCATAGTTTGATTTAGATATGTTCACCATTTGTTCATAGCTATTGCTATGGAAATATGCTGATACCAGTTTATATATTTTATTGCCATATCCTTTCAAGGAACTCTTATTGAATTCACCAGATATGCTTCCAAGTAAACATCCTAGATGGCAGGTTTAAATCATTGCAACAATCTGGTCCAATACCACATTATACAATGTATAACTAATATTATTAGCCAATAGGATATGCTATTAAGATGAGATCATTCATTTGTTGGTGACTGGATACAGCATATGTGGAGTGGTGAAGTAATTAAGAAGCAGAAAACTTTTCCTAGCATGTTCAGTTGACATGCTACATACGTGGAAAATCTATTTGACCCTCTTACACAACTGGCGTAACAGGGAAGGCAAGTGGATTAAGATGATCAAGGAAAATTATAGGGGCAAGCAGCAAAGCCTATTAGGTAGAGACAGAGGTCATATGAATACTGAACAGAAATTACATACTCTACATTGGCAAAAGAAAACTGACTATGTAGTGGCTTGAACTCAATGATTGATATTTCTCTTCATCAATTTAAATAACTTAGTACATATTATTAGTACCTCTAGTAGTATATTTGTATAGCTCCCTGGGAATTTCTTGAAAACCTGAAATATAAAAAAGTATTTTGTGCCATTTTGGTTGGCCCTAGAGAGATTTTAGAAGTTTTGCAATGTGGCTGTGCAGGTTTACTAGAAAGCGACACCTATGATGTTCAATGGATATTCTCTAAGTATGCGAGAGCTGCAGCAACTATGAAGACTTATAACAGGTACTCAAAAGTAAATCCGATGAGTATATTATTAAATAAATGGACATTCTTGTATATGCAATCTGACTTTCTAACTGTTTTGTGCTATTGTAATATTCAACTGTTGCGGCAAATTAAGTCTTGAGCATTCTGTGTGCCTGCTTTTTTAAAAATCTACTGGACACTTGTTGATAGAGATAAAATGTTCTTAATACTTAATTAAGTATTAGGGAACAAATTTATTGCTGTTAATATGCAGAAGGTTCTACCAGTTATGATGTTCTTAGTAGGTTTGCTTGTGCATGCAGAACGTAGTTTACATTTTTAGTGAAATACTAAACCAAAACTGATAGAAGTGGTCCAATTATGTAGGAATAGATAACATTGTGCCTAATAATGAGAAAAGAGGCCACCAAAACACATAAACACAACTCATTAACTAACTGTATTAATTAGGGTAGAATAATTGTAAGCAGTGACATTTTAAATTGTCCCAGTCAATGCCTGTGGATTGGGCTTTAACAACTTTCCTGACTAACTTTAATTCATCTAATTAGCTTATCTCTCATACAGATTTTCTCTCTTAAACTGGAATGAATTTAAATGTATACATAGACAGGATCAGATCCAAAGTGGCTTAAACCTTTTCTTGTCTTTGATGTAATGTTAGTGCCATTAATGTACTGGGATATAATATAAGAAGGAAACCTCCAGTAAATGGAAATAATGCCTTTTGTGGTAAAGTTACTGATATACGTGCCATGATGTAAAAATGAAAGATTAGAAGATTAATCCAAGCAAAGGATTCTGTTTAATATGCGTGCAATAAGAACCTTCCCTAGGTGATAAAGTATTTCTAAGGCAAGAGATATTTGGAAAGTTAAAGCAAAGTGGAAAAACTTACTTTTCTGACATCTTCTTCCAACATAACCTTCCATACAGGAGCAGAGGTTGTTTCTCATACATAGCCCTTTGTTCTTACAAGGAGGATTGCAGAATGCTAATTACAAGGCAAATAAATAAACCAAGGTTATTGGTAATAGGACAGAAATTGCAAAATAGACCTTAGCAGCCTAATGCTATGGCACAGGTCCATGGTAACACTGTGCCCATGATGAGATTTAGGATTACAGATTACTGATAGAATCTGATTTCTCAAGGAAGCCCTCCAATCAAAGGATTTTCATTATTCTAGCATAGCTTTATATAGGAAGAAAAGCCAGAATGTGGTTTGTTTTCTTTCCATTCAGTTTACTATATGACCTCAGCCACCATACTTTATGGGGTATTCTGCCAATTATGCAATTATTATTATTTATGATTTGTCATACAGTGAGCTAGATGTTCAGACTAGATTTGGCATTTTTGTCTGCTTATCGAGTCCTTGCCAAGGACCTGGGATAGGCAGATGTGGATGTTTGATGGGGTCACAGATATTGTCGTAGGATGTAAGCTATTTGGAGTAAAGCTGCCTTTTGTAATTGACTAATGGTGATTTTGTCAATGCTGGTGGTACTCCAATTGTTTTGGGATTGTGCCCAAGGCACCTATCACTATTGGTACTACTGGTACCTTTGGTTTCTTTTGGCACAGTCATTCTATTTCTATATAGTTATATAGCCAGTGGTGGGATTCAGCCAGTTCGCACCACTTCAGGAGAACCGGTTGTTAACTTTCTGAGCAGTTTGGCACACTGGTTGTTGGAAGAAATCATTAGGGCAGAGAACTGGTTGTTAAATTACCTGAATCCCACCACTGTATATAGCCTTTTATCAAAGATGATATTACTGGAGTTTGAGGGATTGCTGGAATAAATAAAAGTATTTAGGTGTTAGCTTTACAGTGCAATGTTACATATGTGGTACTTAGAAGGGATCTCAATCAGACTTACTTTGAGGTTGTTCATTTAAGATTTCTATTTTAGGCTTTCAATGAAAATCATCATCATCATTACTATTATTGTAATAATTATATTGCATTGTATTACTACTGTTACAATTACTGTTTTACTTTAATTCCTCATCTCCCCTCCGCCCGCACAGACAGCTAAGAAACAATACCATAAAAAAAAAAAAACCCACACAATTTAAAACAAAATACAACAATTACAAACAGAAAATTGCAATAAGATAATTCAAACCACTATTAATGAGTATTTAATGAGGCATTAATTTGTTTATGTGTAGATCATAGACACAATTAGATGTAATAAGGTTATGTGGACTTCAATGATTGGAATATTTTAATCAGTAAGACTATAATGATAAAACACTGTTTTCCAAAAGTTGCTGGTAAGAAAAAAACCCCCAATTTAAATAAGAAACTGAAAGGCAGTTGAAGCTAAGTGCAAAATTTCTGATAGATGCTTAGCAAAACTGGTGAAAAATGGCAGTTGCCTGTTACTATCAGGGACGGGACTGTTTTCACTCTTTCAGGATATGAAATGGCAAAAGTTTGGTTATCAAAAGTTTCCTTAACAGAACAGAATAACAGAGTTGGAAGGAACCTTAGAGCTCTTCTAGTCCAACCCCCTGTTCAAACAGGAAACCCTATATCATCTCAGACAAATGGCTATCCAGTCTCTTCTTAAAAGCTTCCAGTGTTGGAGCACCAACAACCTCTGAAGGCAAACCATTCCACTGCTTAATTGTTCTTACTGTCAGGAAATTTCTTAAATTGCATTGCATTAGAATAGAGCCATGATGGCAAATCTATGGCACACGTGCCGGAAGTAGCATGCAGAGCCATCTTTCTGGGCACACCAGCTGTCGCACGTTGCTCTTCTAGGTTCCAGTAAGCACATGCGCGCCAGCCAGCTAATCTTCACGCATACAGGAGTGCCAGAAACCGGAAGAGTAGCTCTCTGGTTCACATGCACACACCAGGAAGCTGAGCTTCCGGTTTTCAGCATGCGCATGTGTGCTGCCAGCTGGTCTTTTTGTGTGCATGCACACTAGAAACCAGAAGACCAGGTGACTGGCATGCATGTGCACACCAGAAATTGGAAGCTCAGTTTCCTGGCATGCGCATGCACCCCGGGAAACTGCTCTTCCAGTTTCTGGTGCTCCTGCATATGCGCGCCAGGGAGCTGCTCTTCCGATTTCTGGTGCTCCTGCATATGCGCACCAGGGAGCTGCTCTTCTGGTTTCTGGCTCTCCTCTGTATGTGCAAGTGCACTCCCCTTTTGGCACTTGGTGCCAAAAAGGTTCACCAACACTGGAAACCAGCAAACCAGAAGAAACCAAAGTATGCAGTGCAAAATTCTCTCATCCTTGACTATAATATAATTTAATACATCTCACATTAAAAAAAAAAAATCTATGTTGTATTGACCAGGAAGAAATTACTGTATGGATTGCTGCAATACAAACAAATTATACCAATAAATGTGTAACATATTTTGAACTGCTAACAGTCTTGTAATTATATTAGATTAGGAAAATTATATGTGTAACAGCAATTTATATCAGATTATTAGAAAGAGTCTGTATATGGGGAGAAACAGTACATGCAAACCAGTTAAGGAGAATTTATCTCCTGGCTGATAGAACAAAAAGGAAACTTACCATCTATCCATCCGTTTTACTCTCATTTAAAGTAATATAGTGCCTATCAAGCTCTCTCGCTTACAATATTGAGTGTACTGACATAGTAATGTACTGTGTATTGTGACATTTTGCCAACATACATTTTAAAGTTGAGTTCATTATGAATAACAGATTTGTTTGCTGTGATACGCTCAATACATTATTTACATATATGCCTTTCTGTCTTTAAAAATAATACAGGGCAATTCAATACACAGCACTATTTCAATTAACATCTTACTATGCATGTCATAAGGGATGCGGTGGCATTATGACATTATTGTCCGAAGTTGTCTTCGGACAACAGCTTTGAAATGGAGATGAGCACTGCTCCCTAGAGTCGGGAACGACTAGCACATATGTGAGAGGGGAACCTTTACCTTTATGCATGCCATATAAACAATATGCCAGCACATGGTTTGTTCTGAATGAAAGTGAAAATGCAACGAATAATGGGAAAGAATATACAATATTCTTGCAGGGAAGGGAAACAATATTTAATCATTAGAATTAAATTTATTCATCTTACCAGATTGACACTGAAGCCCGAAGAAACCAAATGGACAAGCACATATATTTGGTCGAATACAGGTCCCACCATTTAGGCAAATGGGTTTGCAAATGGCTGTCCCAATAGAAAACATAATAAACATTTATCTCAGGTAAGGAGGAAAATATCAAATTCTTCCTTGCTCTCTCACTATATATATTTTTTTATTAAGAACACAGAATAATTCTGTTTTAAACAATGGCTCAGTGAGCCATGAGACATTTTGTCCCTTAGAATCACAGTAATATTTTGTTTAATATTTGTTTTGCAATCTTTTTCTCCAGGTGCATCTCTATTTCTAAGGCACTTTGAGGCAAATTTCTTCTCTGCCTTTTCTCTCACCTTTTCTGTCCATTGTAGAAGCAGTAACACTTTTCCAATTTGTTGTAAATGTGATGACACTGAAGTCCATGATATATTGACTACTATTTACTGGTTTATAGCATGAAGTATATGCCTTGTATTTTACCAATGCTGTAAAAATGAGGCTTCAGTCACATCTATAAATAATATAAACTGGCATTCATGTACAAAAAAATCATCCATGTTGCCTTGTCTTGAATAAGACAAAACAGCTTAAGAGGAATGGGAGTTATTTTGTTAGTTTGAGGATAAAATTAATTGGATTATAAACATATATATCTCAATGTTTATTCAATGTTTATTTAGGGATCTGAGCAAATCTATAAAGTATATTAATTTGTATGAATTGTACAATTAGACATTAGTACTTTTATGACCTGTATGCCAGGGGTGGGTTCTAAATTTTTTTACTACCGGTTCTGTGGGCGTGGCTTATTTTGTGGGCGTGGCTTGGTGGGGGTGATATGACTGGCTGGGCGTAGCCAACTTTTTTTTTTTCTTTTACTTTTAAAAGCATTTATTCTACAACCTTAAGAGGTTGCAGACAAAAATGCTTTTAGAAGCCTCTGACGATCAGGCAACTCAGCTGGAATCGCCAGAGGCTTTTAAAAACTTTTTTTCGGCCGAAGAGGTTGTAGAAAAAATGCTTTTAAAAGTAAAAAAAAAAAAAGCCTCTGATGAGGTGGGTGGGGTAAGCGAGTGGCGACTGGGCCGGGGACCGGTTCAGCGGCATGGCCAGCCAATGTTATTACCGGTTCTCCAAACTACTACAAATTTTTACTACTGGTTCTTGGGAACCGGTGCGAACCGGAAGCAACCCACCACTGCTGTATGCATATTTCTGTGTTTGTATGTTAGTCAATGTGCAAGACTTCCGGTGAAAACTAAGTGAAGCAAAATGCCATGAACACTATTAGTATTTAAGTACATTAATGCAAATTGGTCCTTATTTGACCTGGATATACAAGTTGCTACACATGTTAATATAATTCTTAAGGGTTATTCATATAAACTGACAAAAACAACCTAAAATGTGTATACAAGAAATACAATAAACCTTTTACTCCAATCAGCATTCAACTTTTATTACATTTTTGTTGCATAATGTAGCCAATTAGAAAAGCAACTTGCACGATTCTGTTTCCTTTGAATCTAGTCATTAAGAAAGCTGCTTTTTCTCCAGTACACATATGGCCAAAAAAAAGAGGACATAAATAATATTAACACTAATAATCCCTACAGGGGTACACGGACCATATTGAGATCTTTTTTCCTCTTTTTATATTAATCAGAAAGTGAACTATTGAATATAGCTGATGCCATGATGCCAACCTGAGATTTATGAAGGCAGGACACTAGTGTTATATTATAGCCAGTTAGATTGTTAATAATTCAAAAAAGTGATCCCAGTAGGAAGCAGGAAGTTTATTGAATCACTGCTTGGGTGTTGTTTATGGCTGTTGGGCAAACTGCCTCAGTGGCACAGTGGTTAGAGTGCAGTACTGCAGGCCATTTCTGCTGACTGCCTGGCTGCCTGCAATTTGGCAGTTCAAATCCCACCAGGCTCAAGGTTGACTCAGTCTTCCATCCTTCCGAGGTGGATAAAATGAGGACCCAGATTGTTGGGGGCAATAGGCTGATTCTGTAAAACCACTTAGAAAGGGCTGTGAAGCACTGTAAAGCGGTATATAAGACTAAGTGCTATTGATATTGATATTATGGTTTGCATACTTGGCTTCCTTTGTGCACTTCAACTTGTGTAAACTTGTCATATAGGACTTGCTCTGCACCAGTTTTTACCAGATCCTAACCCTGATTCCATTTATTTCACCCCTGACTTTGGTAAAAATGCAGAAAACTGGAACTCTTTAACATCACAACCCCGCCCCCCCCCCCAAATGGCCACTGCAGTATGCTCCTATGCCATAGGGAAGAAGCAATTTTTGCCAATTCATAAATGGTGTTAACAAAAGTGAAATGGAATGAAATCAGATTTAGCATTGAAGTGTAGCTTCCACCAAGGCCAAGTGCAGTTTGCAGGTTAAAAGGACCCACACTTCTTCATTTATAGTGATTTGCAGATATTAAAAAAAAACACACACACCCCATATTTCCCAGTATTATCTAGGAGTGCTAATTATAGTTTCCAAAAATCTTCAAAGCATGTGCTTTTCCACTTACGGTCCTTCCTTAAGAGTTTGGGATGGATAACAATACTTTGGGGCCAGTGGTGGGATTAATTTTTTTTTTACTACTGGTTCTGTGGGTGGGCGTGATTGGTGGGCATGGCATGGCTTGGTGCGCATGGCTTGGTGGGCATGGCAGGGGAAGGATACTGTAACATCTCCATTTCCATCCCACTCCAGGGGAAGGTTACTGCAAAATCCCCATTTTCCTCCCAATCAGCTGGGACTCAAGAGGCAGAGAACAGATGGGGGTGGGGTCAGTCAGAGGTGGTATTTACTGGTTCTCCGAACTACTTAAAATTTCCACTACCACTTCTCCAGAACTGGTCAGAACCTGTTGAATACCACCTCTGTTTGGGGCCAAGTGTTGTACTTTTCTCAGAATAATTTGCCGAATTCTATATTTCAGGAAGTATAGATCCAACAAGTCATAGGTTTTCAGCCAACATAAAATTACATGCTTAGTTTCATTTGTTTCTACTTAAATTAAAACTAATACTGTTAAAATTATTACTCTTCAATCGTATTATAAAACATTTTCCTTTCTGTCGTATAATAACTCAGTAAGAATGTTTGAAGGTCCCCAATCGAAGCTTCAGAGGCCGCATGCAGCCCTAAGATTGAATCTCCACTTTGGCTTTACATTTGGCTGTTGGTGAAAACAAGGAAACTAGACTACGAAATGTCTACTGCATCAGAAATGTCTGTTGCACCATTATTTTCATAATCAAAAGCAAATGCATTTAGCTCAATGCTTTCAGAATGGTCTAACACACCACTGCATTGAATGCATGGAAATCACAAGTAGATCCAAACACGTGGGCAAAGAGTGCAGATAATGGAGGTTAGAATAATAATAATAATAATAATAATAATAATAATAATAATAATAATAATAATAATAATAATAATTGTTATTGTTATTATTATTATTATTATTATTATTATTATTATTATTATTTTATTTCTATACCGCCCTTCTCCCGAAGGACTCAGGGCGGTGTACAGCCTATTAAAAACACAAAACAACATCAGTTAAAATAGTTTAAAATTATTAAATAAATTCGGCTAAATTTTAAAACCCCAGAAATTTAATACAGAATGCTGTATCCTGTGGCAATTGCCTGTACCATAATTAAAATACATAAATGTCAAATGTAGGAGCACGGTGACTCATGTGGTTAGGCTGGGTTGACAATTTGCAAGCCTGCATTCGAAGCCCGAGTGCTGCTGTGTGACAGGCTGAGGTCCCATCATTCGCTCCAGCTCCTGCTGATTTAGCAGTTCTAAAGCATGTAAAGATAAGTAGATAAATAGGTACCACTTTGGGGGGGGGACACTCACTAATGGGGACATGAAAGGAGCCTCCCACTGGGCATCCTCCAGGCAATGATGAAGTCACTGGTTAATCCTTTCATCACAGAAGTGCTTTGGTGCTTCTGACACAGAAATTTATTTATTTATTTATTTATTAGATTTATCTTGCTGCCTATTCGCCCATAGCGACTCAAGGCGGTTTACAGAATTTAGTGTTACAATATAATGCCAAATATTATCTTGTTTAGTCTTAAAAACAAATTAGGCACCTACAAACAGGGGACAATATTCAGTCCTCTACAAAAGATAAGTTACTTGTATGTGAGATGATGGTTATGGGTGGAGCTATGTTATCTATCTGTCTGTCTGTCTGTCTGTCTGTCTGTCTGTCTGTCTGTCTGTCTATCGAACATAGGCACCATCTACCTTCCTCACAGAGGGAGACTCTGAACAGTGTACAAATAAAGTATTAAAAATATAAAAATTAAATTCAAAATTTTTCAATAGAGGCAAGGATGGTTAAATTCAACATAGAAGTTAATTAAAAGGCAGGGGGGAGAGCCTGCAGGGCACTAACCCAGCCCCGTGTCTGTGTGCTTCTCTGTGAGCTCCAAGAGAGACGGCTAAGTCTTCAGACATTTCCAAAAGACCAGAGGAGACTGAAGTCTTGCCTTGCTTCTCGGGGGAGAATTTAATATCAGTCCCAGATAAATGTGTTACATGTACCTTTAAGGGAATTATTACATACTGTGTTTTCATGGAAATTTTTTAGTAACATATGGTTTACCTGTTTCACATAAAGGACCACTCCATCCAGCCTTGCATTGGCATTCATCTGGTGCCACACATTTCCCACCATTGTGACAATGCTTATTGCAAACCACTGAAAAACAAATTAGGGCAAGTTCAATTGTACCGATTATTAGCATCTGAATTTTGCTCTAAATTATGCTGATTGAAATCCAGGGCAGCCACTGAGAGCTTCTCAAGGACTATGTTGTTAAAACCAAAATATAAATGTCATGTAAACCCTTCATTTCTTAATGAACAGCTTTTTTTTTTAACTGATTCACACAGAAACATCTTTTAAACCTATTGTAGATACTCTTTGCAGAGAGGTGTTTTAAAAAATGATCACGGATAACAGGATAGTCAGTCACTGACCAGGGTTTGTAGTTAAGATAGTGTAAAATATGTGTACTATTAAATTGTGACTAGTTTTAAAGGCAGATTGTTTTAAAGTTATTAACATATTAGTATACATTTTGAACAATAACTTGAATCTTAATGGCAATTCCCCCCCAAGTCCTTTATATTCTCAGTATTATAATGTATTTTTTTCAATGCTTTGAATTTCGCAAACATTACCATAAAAAATGTTTCTCTGCAACAGAGCTGTTACAAAGTAACTATTGAAAAAGATTGAATACATTTTATGGTGTTAATGTGCTTTTAGAAAGCACAGCATCAGATATGATGTTATTGAGCATTACATATATTTATTAATATTGAAATACTGAGTTACATGTTGCATACTAGATTAGATTTGATTTAAAATAATGTCAGAATTATGGTCTGTCACAGTCAGCCAGATGCTTAGTTTGGATTTAGCATTTTTATCTACCTATTGAGTCCTCCCCAGTTATTATTATTGCTGCTGTTGTGTAAAGTTTGCATTCTTTTTTCTCGTATTATTTATTAGCTATCAATATGTGGGAAGATTGATAAAGTTACATACGCATAATAGTATACTTACGTGTTTCACATCTTGAACCAACAAATCCATATGCACAGGAACAGATATTGTGACTGATACAGGTCCCTCCATTTTCACACAATGGATCGCAAAGTGCTATATAAAAGAACAGAAAAATGATAACTGAATTTAGAGTAGATTGGCTGTAATGTAATGAGGATCCTGTTGATCTACATTCTACCACTGATATATCTCTGCTTTATCTATATAATACTAAAACTCTGACATCTGTTTGTAAGCTTACAATTGAGCAAAATGATATCTCAGAGGCTGGGGTAGGTTCTACATACCAGTTCACAACGGGAGCTTCTGCGCATGCGCAGATCACCAAATATGATGTCAGGGCGGGTGGGCGGAGCCTCCTGACACTTTTACTATCGGGAGCAACCCATCACTGCTCAGCAATAATGATTAAACCAAGATAGCTCAAATGGGCTAACTTGCAGAATGCTGGGATCCATTCCCATGTGAATTAAAGTTGGGGAAGTTGTGGTTGCTTCAACACCACTGCCACTTACCTAGCTACATCCCTAGGACTTGCAATTCTGCTAGTTTCCCCACTGAAGTTGTGCCTACAAGCTTCCCACAAGCAAAGTAAACAGGAAAGCCAGCAGAAATTCTAGGGAGGGAGGAAAGGGGATTTCCAAAGCTCACTGCCAGCTTCCCACAAGGAAACTCAATCCAGCAGGAAGTTGGAAATGACTCTTCCACCCACTGCTTTCTTGCCCACCTTTGGTCATTCTATTTCTCTGTTTAGAGAAGGAAATATCTTTGAAATGATGTCCCAGCAGGTCCTATCTTATCAAGTTGCCTGTAAAATCAAAGTTATGTTTCAGTCCCAAGTATTGCAGTTGAATTATGATTAGATGGGCAGAGATCAAGGCAGGGATTGATAATGCTGTGCCTATAGATAAAACATTGTGTAATATGACTGAGCAGGAAAGCTGGAAAAAAAAATAACAGTGACTTCAATTTTTCCATTTGGATTTGTTTTGTCCCCTAAATAATCCACTTAATCATTTTTTCAGGAGAATGGGTGATTAGTGGAAATCTTTGTAGCTTTATAAGAGCCGTGGTGGTGCAGTGGTTAGTATGCAGTACTGCAGGCTACTCCTCCTGACTGCCGGCTGACTGCAATTTGGCAGTTCGAATCTCAGCAGGCTCAAGGTTGACTCAGCCTTCCATCCTTCCAAGGTGGATAAAATGAGGACGCAGATTGTTGGGGGCAATAGGCTGACTCTGTAAACCGCTTAGAGAGGGCTGTAAAGGACTGCGAAGCGGTATATAAGCCTAAGTGCTATTGATAGCTCTAAGTTGAACAATGAGGTTATTAGGGTCTTGTTTTTAATTCTCATTCTTATTTGATGATGAACTTGGGAAAGTTTTAAACTTTGTTCTAGTGGATCACAGTTTGGTGAAATGTTTTTTGTCAGAATGTTCTAATAAAGCTTAGCATACAATAAAATATGTTTATCTTATATACACATTATGCCTATGCTAGTTTTCTCTGTTACCTCCTCCTCACTATATTTTGTGTTTTAAAGAATATTGCATTTTATTATTCAAAATAATTTGAGTTATTATTTCATATACTTTTACATAGAGAAGCTAAGCTTTTTTCTGTGATCTTTCCCTGCTTGTCTCTTCTTGCCTGCCTCCATACTATTCATGTGGCAATTGACGATAATGTAGGAAAGATGTATGAAAAATATCTATAAGGTTTTTCAAAAATTGTAATGTAATTGGATAAATGACTTTACAACTATAGACATATTTTATTCCTTGGCCTTGACTTCCATGGTTGTTGTTTTTTTTTTTAAGCTATTCTTGTTCTCATGTTATAATGCCAGGAGAAAATGGCAAGCAAATAAATATTCTGCAAAACCAAAAGCATATTGTGATACTTTGGTTGTAATGCTGATTTATTTGGAAGTAAATTAATTCAAAATAAATTATTTTAGAGTAAGGATTAAAAAAAAAGCCTGTAGAATGCTTTGGATTTAAAGGCAAAACAGGTTTTAACTATAAGATGATGTAAGTGTAGCACTTCTTAAATCAAATACATATTTTCCCTGAATCACACAACAACTACTCAATCCCAGGAGAAAATGTATAGGTATTCCATCTTCCACATTGCTATTAGGCAGGTTAGTTATCATGTGAGTTCTATGCGTTATGAAACTAAGAAATATATATTTCTTGCTTCTAAACAGAGAAGTCTTTTAAATTGATTTTTCATATGTATTTTTTTAAAATACCATGCCATATTTACAGCTCTCTTACAACCCTGAAATTTCACAAAAGCCATTGCTGCGTATTTGTGTTATTTATTTATTTTTTACATTTAAAAATATACATGCTGAAATAAGATCCATTTCAATAAATGTGCATGACTGAACTTATAGTACCTGGAATGCTGCAACTCATAAAAAAATTAAGTGTGTTCTCCAATGAAGGCAAACCAGTCTTCAGCTTCTGAATTTACTTGAATAAATACATCTCATTAGAGAGTTTTATAAAATTACTGATCACAGGCACTACTGTTGTCACAGTCTCACAATTTAAAATAGATTTATATTATATGGGAATGGTACTTGGTAAATAGTAATTGAAATAAATTATTTATCAATGTCTAGCATAAGTATTTATTTATTAGGTTTATGTACTATCCATATCGTCTGGAGGTGAGTAATTGCTAACTTTGTGCAAAGCTTTCATTCAAATATCTGATTTTAAGATGATTTGATGAAATTACCTCTCTGAACTGAATAATCAAATCAGTTCTATTCACTGTCTTTTAGTCACTCAGAAGACCTGATGGACTTCTGCACATGCACACACGCCCTTGAATTGAATCAACTCCTCAGATTGCAAATTTGAATCAAATCTACTCTTTGCATCAAAGTACAAATTCAAACTGAATCTTAATTTATTAGCAGACATATAGTAGCTGCATAATCAAGAATGTTTCATGTTTTCAGTCAGTGAAAAAGGCTGTACATATTAACTGAATGGAACAATATAAGGAATTACAATAGATTACAGTATATGGATGTTGGACAAATGGTAGCAAAATAAATTTTCCTAATGGCTTGAGCAATTTAAGTATATTCCATTATAGTATTTGAAAAGTCATATTAGGCATACAAATGAGGAGTGCCCATTCTATTTGATGGAAACATTTCTACTTAAATTGTGGCTACTGTGTTCTAGTTAACTACTAACAGCTCCCAGTAAGTGGACACTAAAAATAAAACTTCCATTTGGGCCAGAGAGAGTGCAAATGAAACTGTGCTGTCTCATCTAGCTGCTGTCATTGCTTGCCTTAGTGTTACCTGTGGAAAACAGATTCTTCACAGGATCAGCTTTTGTTTAAGTGCATCAGATGCCTGGGGCTTGAAATTACCTCTGCCCAGGTAACCCTCTTGTTCCCTCTTTGCACCACAACATTTTTTTGTGGGTACTAGGAAAATGTGGGGGAAATATTGTTGGCTGCATGGAGAATACACTCTCTGGGGAAAGTGAAGAACAGAAAATATTATGTGACTGAACAAAGCAAAGCTAAATATGGTAGGGAAGAACAAGTAGATTATTGCAAGAAAGAATAGGATGTTGATGATTGACTGCCCTTTCATTCCCATTGCAGCCTATGAGGAAATCAAGATGGCATAATGGTTAAGGTACCAAGCTGCAAACCAGGAGACCATGAGTTCAAGTCCCACCTTAGCCATGGAAGCAAGCTGGGTGACTTTGGGCAGTCACTCTCTCTTAGCTCAGGCCATCATACAGGGTTGTTTTTGTTATGTGGAAAATAGGAGGAGGAAGTGTATTGGATATGTTGGGTTATTTCTAAAATAATAATATAAATGAATGAATGATCTCTAGATCAGAGCCCTGGTAGCGCAACAGACTAAAGCACTGTTATTAACATCAGCTGCCTGCAATTACTGCAAGTTCAAATCTCCCCAGGCTCAAGGTTGACTCAGCCTTCCATCCTTTCTAAGGTAGATAAAATGAGGACCCAGATTGTGGGGGTAAAAGCTGACTTTGTATAAAATATACAAAAGTATGAAGGCTATTGCTTAACGCATTATAAGCCCCCCTGAGACTTTGGAGAAGGGCAGCATATAAATCAAATTTTTTTTTTAAAAAACTATGTTCTTAGATTATCTGAGGTTTCTTGTCCAGGAGGATTATAATGTACAAAAATCTTGTACATTATATCAAGAACAATCTGGGATTTCATGTCTTCTTTGACAGCCATAAATTTGTCTCCATTAGTAGTAGCTGGCCCAGCATATTGTGTTTGGATGAGATTGATGATCTGAAAGTGCAGAATAACTATGTAAAATCAATGTTATACATAATTTTAGATGGGTTCAAATCACTGTCACAAATACCACATGAATAGTAGTTTATATAGAGATATGCCTAAGTTATATAAGATCTTATTTATTTAATTCAATTAGCTAGGATAACTTGGGAAACATGGTTAGCTGTAATGAGCAACGTTTGCTCAGATGAAATATGTTTCTCCCTGCCTGTAGGAAGCACTTCTAAGATTTCTAATGAAAAAGAAAGAGAACACCCTTGACCTGAATAATGTATATACCAACTGTGGGCCTATTTCATAAATACAATTTCTGGGAAAGATGATCAAGAAGGTGATAGCCTCACCCTCCAGATGCTTATGAAGGATTCTAATTATTAGGATCTAATTCAATAACGAAGCTGCTTTGATTATTTTTGGGGAAATGCTAAGTGCCTTGGAAGTCTCAAGGGTTCATTGTCATCAGCCACAGAATTCTTCTGCTTCAACTGGGGGTCTGGTCTTTGGGAACACAGATTTACAAGGGTTTATTCTGATGCCAGGAGTTTCCATAATGGAATTATTGCTCGACACTAGGCTGTTGACCTGTGGTGTCCCACAGGGTTGCATCTTATCTTGCATTTTATTCATTAAACAGCTGGAGAAGGTCACGAAGAGATTTAGAGTGTGGTGTCATCAGTATTGCTCCTTATCAGTTAACTGAAAGAGCAATCAATATGTTAAGCATTGCCTAAATCTGATAATTGGGAGGATAAGGGAGAACCTA